ATCGCTTTTCGCCTATCGCCTAACGAAATGGTTTCGTTGAATACAAAGAACATTGAATCAGTCTCAACACTAAGGTCCATGTTCTTGACGAGAATGAGAAGCAGAAATACGAGTCATTCCAGCTATTCTTGGATCTTGGAATGAACTATCGCTTTTCGCCTATCGAATATAGCCTTTGGCGATGACAACGTTTTTTGAGATAGCTGTACACGAGTTTGGGGAATCAAAGGTAGTGTAGGAGTGGTACACGCACTTCTCACCTGTGGTATCACTTGTGAGTAGAGTTCGTTAGCAGGTGTCTCTCTTTATTGAGGATTTTTCTGGGTTCACCGATTTACGTCTTTTCGCAAAAGTCTAAATGCAAAGTTCTAAATCGATATTTGAGCTTGGGCTTCTTCGTCTTTGAAATGAGAAATTATTCAATGGGTTTTCTGAGAAAACCAGTCAAGTGGCAAAAGCCAACAAAATGTTTTTGCGGAGTTAGACCATTTACGCAGGGCTGGATAGCAGATGTTAAGTGGATTTTTCGAAGCCTTTGAAAGGCTGAAAACCAACCAAATTAATCCTTACTTATTCTTCTTTTATTTGTTAACTTTTTTTCTTTATTTTTTATCAACAAAAGGGATCAACAAAATCTGTCCAGCGTGCAAAGTTCCTCGTCACACAGGCGTTAAACACCCCGAGCACCATCGCGCAGACCACAGCGGCTACACCCTCCTCTACGACAACCACAGCCAACGGTCCCTCAGAATATGGCAACACCTCAGGTGTAACAGGCGTCAGAGGGAACTTCGCAGCTATTGCGTCGGCGTCCTCAGAATGGCCAACCATTGCCCAAGCCAACACCATGACGACAACCACCGCTACTTCTAAACCGACTCTTAAGTCTATGGGCAGTGAAGACAAGACATCGAGTGAGACAGTTAACTCTGAAGCCGTCAGTCAAGAACCACGACAGACACACACTAGGTCGTTATCATCGGGAAGCTCGGACAGTGGGCTTAATGTTAAGGGCGCTCAAGCTGTTACCAAGACAACGGCAGCGTGGGCAACTCAGTCTGCATGGAAACCGAACCGCCCTCCCGTGACTCAGAGTGTGGGTATATCGACTAGTGCAGTAACTACGGGCGTTAGTAGTAGTACTTATGCCATGAGTAATGGACCGACTGATGGGGGTACTCAGGTGTCGAGTGGTTATAGTCACGAGGCGTCTGTACACGGGAGGGCTGTTAATAGGAATAGTGGGGCGTACACGAATAGCACAACGAGCAATGTGAAGGCTGAGATGGTGGGTTCTTGCTACAGCAATACTCATGGGAAGGTATGTAGATGGAATCTTTCTTTCTTTCTTGTATTTCATTTGACGTTTTTATTGGTTAAAGTGTGTATCAAGGAAAATGTTTTTCTTTCAAAATCATTTATATGTGAATAGTGTAGTAAAGTGACCACAGTAAATCCGTGAAACACTAATTACTAAATAGTACAAAATAGTGCTAGTTAAACAATAGAAACAATGGAATTTGCATGAAATTGTGCTATTTAGTATTACTAAAGTTTCACGGTTTTACTGTGGTCACTCTAGTGTGATTGCAGTATTTTTGTATGTAAATTGTTTTTAGGAGATATACCACAAAAAGGCAACAAGGAGCTTCAAGCGCTAATATAGTTTTTATTCCTAATGAAATATTAATATTCCTCGAATCTCTCTATTCCAGGTCACAGTTTCTACTGTAGCGGCAAGCACAAGTGCTGAAACAACCACAGCACAAAGGGACGTGGTAGGACCAGGACGGCCCTTAGATTCCGTACCTAATAGCGTCTGCTATGGTACAGTTTGGTCCCACAAAAGACCTCACCAAGCGAATTCTGAATCATTAGTATCGGGGCCGTTTGGAGCTATAGGAGATATTCCATCTACTAACTCAGTATTTCAAGGTATGAAAGATTGTTTAAGTTGTATTCATATTTGTGTCTTTTCATACGCAACTGTTAAAGAAAAAAATAATGCTCTACAGTCTAGAGAATGACACGTTGTCTGGATTAGGATTAGATTAGATGACCGTGAAACAAAGAAAAAATACTCTAGGGAATGACACGTGGACTGGATTAGGATTAGATTAGATTACCGTTAAACAAAGAAATGATACTCTAGGGAATGACACGTGGACTGGATTAGAATTAGATTAAATTACCGTTAAACAAAGAAATGATACTCTAGGGAATGACACGTGGTCTGGATTAGGATTAGATTAGATTACCGTGAAACGAATAAATGATACTCTAGGGAATGACACGTGGTCTGGATTAGGATTAGATTAGATTACCGTGAAACAAAGAAATGATACTCTAGGGAATGACACGTGGTCTGGATTAGGATTAGATTAGATTACCGTGAAACAAAGAAATGATACTCT